GATCCGCTGTTCAAGGGAGGCTGCGCGGCAAGAATAGAGGCCTGGAAATGAAAGCGCGCCAAAACGGGCCATTTAAAATAGCGGGCTCTCTTGCCGCGCGCACCTGGAGCGTTGTCGGACCGGCACGGAGCCTAGCACTCCTGTCAGGGGCTCAGGAAGGCTTTAGCAGCCAAATCGCCCCCCCCCCCACGTACTCACTGAACTGGCGTTTTGGGAGAGACCCAACCTAGAAACAGCCCAGGTGGAGGCTGGGCTGCGATCGCCCCAGGGAGCCTGCCTGCGCAATGGATTAAGGCCTTTAAGGCTCAGAGGCCTAGTCCAGAATCCTCGTAGAAGTAGAAAAGCAGGATAAAATTACCCTAACTGCAACCTATCTATCCAAACTAGCAAAAAAGGAGCTACAAACTCTCTAGGAAATACTAAATTGGGGTCCAGCTTGCTGCACAAGGACTGGAGCCCCTGGAAATACGTCCTGTTGGGTGACTGAGTTTTTTAAAACTGAGCCTCTGGAGCAACCAGGAGGCGGAGCTACAACAGAAAAAAATCAACTCAGTCCTGGGGCAGCAAGCTGAAGTTAAACCCGAGCTTGGACACTCCAAGCAGCGCCTAGGAGAAACCAGGTATTCTGATTTGTTAAGAAAAGAAATGTTTTCTACAGGGTCAAATCCACTATTAGATATTAAACCACCTTCTGAGTTTACTTATTAATACAATGTATTATCATGTTCTTATATTTAGAACTGTGCAATCTTCTTTGCATTTTGAGAAGTGTAGAAAAGTGCATATAATAGTAACTTTATCATACAATATACAGAAAGATATATGAATTAAAATGAGTTACTTTTGTTCAGACGAAAAATTCCAAACACTTCCTTACAAGAACTTACTTGATGAGAGCTGCAATAATCTGAACATTCAGTGCTGATCCACTCATAAAACGATCATGTAGGATTTGAAATCCATTTAAGGTGCCAAACTTGTTGATGAGATCTACTAACCAACCCTGCAAAAAAATGTTTTCTCCTTTACAAGTAATTTCTACCACCAAAACACATATTTACATCACAGATGTTGCTCAACATATTTGATTTAAATTAGATGCCAGTATCTTTAAATCATTCTTTTACCTTTACCTAGTTCCTAGTACTATCTTTTAAACTTTATTGAAATTTGAAAAATTATATAACATAAAATTCAATCTTTAATTATGACATTTTAAAGGCAGAATAAGTATTTTATTTTTATTTTATTTTAGTCAGAAACAAAGGCAGGATTATATTTAAAAATCTATTTATTTTAGGTTCCATAATCTAATTTAGCTAAAATAAATTTATTAAATTGCATCGAGAATAACAACTAATTCAAGCATTCAAGTGCTTTATCCACAACCACTGTTATTCAATTTAATACTCTGAAAAAGTACTATTTGCAGTACAAAAAGAATCTGAATTATCAAAATTGTCAATGATATCATTACTTAAATATTAGACTGAAATCATATTCTAAAAACCCTTTGCATAGGCTTCTGTTGAAATAAATGCACAAATTCTAGTTTTTCTGACTCAAATAACAAAGCAATTTCTGTAGTTTTCTCTTATCTCCGGAAATTACTTTTCAGAGATTTCATCTATAGTTCCAATTTCAATCAACATACCTTTGGTGACCTTGGGTCTGGAGGACGAGCATAAAGTTCATCTTCAGCTAGCTGAGCTCCAGCAGGAACAGTTTCTGAGGGACGTGTACCATTATAAAGATGGAATTTGCAATGAGGATTTAAGGCCATTGCAAGAAGTTCAAGAAGAGGAAACCAATCTTGGGCCAGCTTTGCCACACAAAGTTCTACTAGGCGATGGGTGTTGTTAATGATACATCTCTATTTAAAAGAAAATGATTTTAGATATTCTGCCTTGCATTCAAATTCTGTCACTAATCTTATTACAGTAATAAACACACTGCTACACTCCAGTGTGTTTTAGGTTTAAACTAACAATTACCCAACTGTAGACAAAGGGTCCCTGAGGAACTACACAATTTTTATAAGGGGTCTGTGACACGCACCAAACATGGCAAATAAAACAAACACAGTCACACTGCTTATTCACAACCATTGACCAAAAAATATTCCACTGCCTAGGTAGAAAACTGAAAAGAAAAATATTAGGGGATCAAGGGAAACCCTTTTTTTCCAATGACACTTCTCTCCCATCCAGCATAGTCACTACATGCATGATTTTTTCATTAATGTCACTGTTCCTGCATGTCATGGTCAGCTCTAACTCAGAGAAGCCTGCTAAGTGAATTTCAGCCTGTGGAAGCTTTGAATATTCAAATGACATGAGGCTGGTTCACTCAGCAATCACCAGGACTAGCTGTGCCCCCTCCCATAGGATGAGGAACCAGAAAGACCATCCAGACCCAGAATTCACTTTTTGCAATAGAGGAAACTTGACCTCTCTTATTGAGAAAAACTGCAATGGTACTCAGAACTCTGTGACCTGAGCTGATGCCTGTGGAAATCTGCTCCCTGGGACCCCAACCAGCTGATTACATACCTATGATACTGAGACTCTTATACTGTGCCCAATGATGCTTCTGTATCCTGCTTTGGATTTTGATTACTGAAAACTTTTACCGACAAATTTCCAAAGATCTGGGGGACTGCTCAAATCTGATTGTGAAAGCAAAATTCCCTGTCTGCCACTGCCTGTATTTGAACCATTTAAAGAAGACTTCCCCAACCTTTCCAGCTTTGCGGCCCAGTGGCAGGGGATGCTTCCGGGTAAGCAGCAGGAAAGTGTGCATGTACAGCTCCATTTGTGTGAGCGGCGGGCATGCGTACACGCTACTTGCACAAATGGAGTGTGTGTGCATACGCTCTCCTGCTGCTCATACATGTGGGGGTGTACACTCTCGCCCACCAATTCCGCAGCGTAGTTCTGAACGGCTCAAGGGCCAGTAGTGGGCCACAGCCTGGGGGTTGGGACTCCTGATTTAAAGCAAAGTCTGCAACCAAATTCCTTTATCCTGCATTGAGCCTACCTGCTATCATGTAAGTTTCTTATAAATGTCCTCACTTTGCCATAGCTGTTCTCTATAAGCTCCTACTGTTCTCCCTATCTTTCAAACAGCTACCCAGTGACTCTCTGTGCATGTTACATCCCATATTTTTCTTCTGTATATTTTCACACCCCACACTGTCAACCTGATGACATGTATACAATTACTATGATGAGGAAGACTGCAAAAGTTTAATATTAAAAGTATTTCCCTATTCAAAAAAATTGGAAATTACTGAGTTTAGAAAGCCAGGGAGCTTGGGAAATTAAATCTCCTTTTTTTTTAAGCACACTGGATTTGTTTATTATATGAATAGCTAACTCCAACTTACATGAATTTCAAATTTCCAGCCACTCACTGCCTCATCTGTAAGTATTTTTGTGAAAGAAATTGTTAACCCATCTCGGAAAAATCGTTGACAGGCCTCACTTTTAACATCAAGACCTATGTAAAAAAACAATAACATTATTTCTATGGAATTTCAATCCTCAAAACACCAATGACAACAGATCATTCAGAATCTTTTTCAAGATTTAAAGCACTTTTTAGCCTTAGATATCTCTTGTACTTTATCCAAATTCAATAAGTGCTAGTTTCTTTAGTAAATCTAAAAAATTTAACACCACAGGATTTTTAACGTGAAAAATCCCAAAACCTGGAAGAAAATATAATCAGAACACTAATAGCTGGGGATGGAAGGTAGATTTATAAAAACTAAATGTTTTTGAGGGGTTACAAAAGAAACAGGAATACAAAGGCACTAAGGTAATGTCTGTTTAAGACTATTCCCAATTCATACAGGTAAACCATTTAAAAATTTAGCCGGGAATATTAGTTATATCCATTTTTCTTAATGTTTTATTTTTCAGCTTACCCTTTTTACTAAGCTCAATAGCAGCTTCTAGAAGAACTTCTAACTCCCCCTTAGGCAACACAGGAACAACCCATCGAGGTCTAGGAAAACGTAAGAATATAATTCATTTTACATTACATCTAGTTTTTCCCCACTCATGTATCCCTCATACAGGGATACATACATTCAGAAACACATAGAAAAAATCTGCCATAATTTGATACTATACTTTGTAAACAAGTCATGTTTTACATGCACTCCTTGTTTAGAAACTGAGTTATATTCCAACGAGCAGGTCGTTAAGTGAATATGTGACTGAGAGAAGATAGATGCTGTGAAGATCACTGGGTTTCTGTCATTTCATATAAATCAAGTTCTCATACAACTACACCAGCATTCCTCTTATTCCAGCATGCATTGTTGTCATGAATATAAAATTTAGTCATAAATGTACACATTGGTTGTATTTTTTTAAGTATTTTTTTAAACGTTTTGTCATATTTCAAATAATCAATAACCAAGGTAATTGGTAAACAAGAAGTGGATGTATTTGTTTAAAAGCTACTGAAATAAATCCAAAATGCCAACAGAAGTTAACCGCACCACTGTTAGAACTTTTAAAAATTAAAAAAACATTTAAAAAAAACCTGTTGATCATGTCATCCAATTTTGCCAAGTCAGTGTGTGGAAATGCAGGCTCTTCATCTTCAAGTTGTGGTGGGGCATCACCTTGACCCTGTTCATCAGGGGGAGTAGCTGGGGAATTCTCATTTGAAGAATCAGGTGAAGAAGTCTGAAATGGAAACTATGGATTTCTATGAACTATTCAATTTTTATCATTTTTCTTTATTTGTTGTGGACTTCTATTAGTTCCACCTTACCCTCCGCCCAGTGGTGGGATTCAAATAATTTAACAACCGGTTCTCTGCCCTAATGACCAGCTGGGTAGATGGGGGTTCGGTGGTCATGTGACTGTGTGGGCGTGGCCAACTCAACGTTCCTCAAGTCGATGGGTGCTTTGCCTTAGCTGTTACAATGGAATAAGGGTTAACCGAAGAGGCATCTTCTGTAAGAAGGGCAATAAAAATTAGGCTATATTAGGATTAGCCCTGTAAAGTGGAAAAAAACAAAATGAGCTTTCTTCCAACAACTGGTTCTTCGAGCTGCTTAGAAAGTTAACAACCGGTTCTCCCGAATAGGTGGTAACTGGCTGAATCCCACCACTGCCTCCGCCTCAGTGAATAGTGTGCAAAAGTTCGCCTGGCTTGAGAGACAGAGTTTTCAGAGGGCTGATCTAGCATCCGGGCTAGTTACAACACAAGCATTCATTCTTGGCTTTGAGAGTCCTAGCTGCAATGGGCCTAGCTTTTTGCCTAGCTTTGTCTGGCTAATGGGGAGAAAACAGATGGGGGCCTGGGGAGAAAGCCTGCATCAAGCTAGACTGGGAAAGTTAGTTCTAAGAGGAGAAGCCGGGTTAGCTGACTCAGGGACTTCCTGGGCCCCCTCATCCCAGAAGCAGCAACCTCGCACTCTCCCCTCTCTACTGTCCCCATTCTTCACACGGGATCGCCCAGCAGTGGGAATGGAGACGGAGAAGGGGTCTGGCTCACCCGGCTTCTCTTCCCCTTGCAGCCAGCTTTTCCAGTCTAATTTAACGTAGGCTTCCTCTCTAGGCCCCCATCCATCTCCCCACCCCCTGACAGCCAGACAAAGCTAGGCAAAAAGCCGGGCCTCACCGGTGCTCAGCTTCACTGACAGCAGGCTTGGAAAGGGAAAGACTGGGGAGGGAGAACGTGAGAGAGCACCGACTGCGGAGAAGGGAAGCCAGGCAAAGGGGCGAGTGAGGGGCGTCTGCAGCATGCTGGCCTTGGCAGACTTTTTAAGCCTACCTAAAGCAGGGAGGGAGGGAGACAAATCTGATCTAACGTGTGTGTGTGTGTGAGAGAGAGAGAGAGAGATCTAGGGCTGGCAGTGATGCGCTCTCTTTCTCTCTCTCTCTCTCTCTCTCTCTCTCTCTCTCTCTCACACACACACACACACCTGCACACGCACAGACAAACAGGTTGGATTTTTCTTTCCTCCTGCCCCCTCCCACAGGAGTGTCCCCTGGATTCCCTCCCCAACCCTGCCTGTCTCATACAGGCACCATCCACATGAGTGACATAGAGTTGGCCGTGCCCACTCAGTCACATGACCTCCCCAGCCACTTGGAAGAAGCTGTTGGTTGTTAAATTATTTGAATCCCACCACTGGTAGTAAAACCTTATTATTCAGGCTAATAAACTGCAGTATTGGCACTTTACAATAAATAAATGGGTTTTGGGTTGCAGTTTGGGAAGTCGGTCCCTAAAAGGTTGCCATCACAGTATTAGGCCAATACTTGCAGGCAGAGTTTCCCACAGATACACAATTCCAATTTGTGATCTCCTCACAGCTTTCCCACTGACTGCTTGTCAGAAGCCAGCAGTGAAGGTTGGAAATGGAAATGACCATTGGCTTACCTGAAGGGTCATTCTCTGTGTGCTGCAGGAGAGTCCAAGCATGGGTTAAATTCTGTCCCTCTGCCCAATGGACTGGACTGAATTTTCTGGCCATGCCTCCTGGTCTCCTCTGATATTCAGTTTTTCAATGAAGGCATGGTTCCGTGGAAGACAAATTTATCATAGTAGATCCATAGAGTCTAATAGATGAGGATAGGTCCGTTCCGATGGAAAAAAGGTACCCCTGGGTGGGGTTGGACTCTTCCGCAGCACACAGAGAACAGCCCTTCAGGTAAGCCAATGGTTATTCTCCTGTGTGCTGCTTGGAGAGCCCAAGCATGGGACATACCCAAGCAAAAAATGTCCAAGGGTGGGAACAGAAGACAACCCAACCCTATGAAGACGTAGAAACAACGCTCTGCAAAAATCTTCTTCTGAAAGCAGTTTCTGCAGAGGCAAATTTGTCCAATTTATAATGTCTGACAAATAATGATGGGGTCACCCAAGTTGCTGCCTTGCAGATCTCCTCAACTGAGGCCTGGGTGGCCTAGCTTGCCGTCGTGGCCGCACTTCGCATCTAGTGCACTGTTATGCGTGAAGGAACTGGTCTGCCCTGCTGTTCGTAAGCAAGAGAAATGCAAGCCTTGATCCATCTCCCAATGGTAAACGAGGTGACCTTAAGCCCATGGATACAGATTGAAAAGAAACAAGCAAGGCTTCAGAATGATGAAAGGAGGCCATATGTTTGAGATACCTCTTAAGTGTCCTGAGAACGTTGAGAGAGTGCCAATGACGCTCTTGGGTGGCTTGGACACGGGCAAAAGTCTGGAAGAGCTACTTCCTGGGCTTGATGAAAATACAAGTTGACCTTTGGCAGGAAGGATGGGTCAAGATGAAGCACAACTCTGTCTGGATGGATGATGCACAAATCATCCCAGACTGACAGGGCCGCTAACTCTGAGATCCTGCGGGCCGACGTAATAGCGACAAAGAAAGCAATCTTAAGAGTCAAGTGTTGCAAAGAAGAATTGTGGAGAGGCTCAAAGGGCATGTTGGTAAGCGCTCTGAGAACTGTGGAGAGATCCCGTGAGGGGTAGCAGTGAACTACCTGAGGGCTTAAATTGGAAGGCCCATGTAAGAAACTATGGACCTCAGGGTATCTACTGAGCATCTGGTGCATGACAGATGAAAGCCTGGTTGATAACGCAGCTAGTGGATATGGCGCCGCAATGTGTTAGGAGCTAGACCTTTATCAAGGCCTTCTTGGAGGAACTCCAAGGTTTGTGGGAGCAAAGCTGCCGCAGGCTGAATTTGATGTTCAACACACCAGCGAGCAAAGGTGGCCCAAGTGGTGTCATAGATGCTGGTGGTAGAAGGGTGTCTGGAGGATTGAATGGTTCTGATGATCCTGGTGGAGAACCTCGCCCTCTTCAGGAGGTCCCTCTCAAGTGCCAGATGGTTAGTTTGAGCCACTGGGGCTCCGGATGGTGAACCATCCCCTGACTGAGAGATAAGACTCCTGGGGAATTCTCCAGGAGTGTGCAATGGAAAGGTAGGTCAGGTCGGCGATTCAAGCCTATCTGGGCCAGTAGGGTGCCACCAGGAGAACCTCCGCCCGTTCCTCCAGTATCTTCTTGATCGCTCTTGAAATGAGTGCCAATGGGGGAAAGGCATAAACCTGCCCCGGAGGCCAGGGACAATGGAGTATCAATGGAGTATCCTTCCACCCAGACACTGATACCTAGTGAAAAAGCGAGGGAGATGGGCATTCTCTGGAGTGGTAAATAGATCGACCAGGGGACGGCTGAACCTATGCAACGGTTGATGAAAAGAGTCGTGGGTGTAGACGCCATTTTGAATAATGCAGGGTGGTCCTGCTCAGCCAATCCACCTAAACATTGTTCACCCCGGAGACGTGCTCCACTCACATGGATTCCAGATGTCTTTCTGCCCATTGACCGATCGCCTCTGCCTCTAACATGAGAGATATGGACCTGGTACCACCTTGGCGGTTTATGTGCACCTTCGTTGCTATGTTTTTGGTGGCCATGGATGTCCTTTTGAAAACTTCGAAGCGCAAGTCTTACTACTCTCAGCTCCAACCAGTTGATGTTGTTGAGTGAGTTCTTGAGCTGACCACTGACCTTGTGCAACTTTATTGTAAAGATGGGCAATCTTCGTGATGGTAATCTGAGCAGGCTCCTTGAAGAAAGTCCCCTTCATCAGAACCAGGGACTGCCACCACCTGAGGGAGTTAATGACCTTGGGAGGAAGTCGCAACCTGACTGGAGAGTTCCTGGCATAGGCCTTCTGTATTGGGAGCAGAAACCATTGCAGTTCTCCTGTGTGCAGTCTCGCCCAAGGAACTATTGATAGACACAATATCATTTTTCCCAGTAATTGTGATAGTGTCAGCACCTGTGCGCTGGGGGAGAGGCGGACTCGTTGGGCAAGTTCTTGAAGGCTCGCAATGTGGTCCTGAGACAGGTATATGTGGCAAGAGGATGTGTCTATCATTGCTTCCAGATGTAAAAGTCTGGTGACAGGAGTCAGGTGACTTTTGTCGAGGTTGATAGGTCTGTAGCATTCGCATGGTGTTGTGCAGGTTGCACGCCAACTGAACTGGTGACAACGACTGAATCAAGATGTTATTGAGATAGCATTGGAAGCTGATCGGACACCCCCATAGATGCGCAGCCACTGCTGATAGGATCTTTGTAAAAGTCCTGTGGTCTGATGACTGGCCGAACAAAAGGGCCTTGTACTGAAAGTGGGACCCTGCAAAGAAGAACCTCAGGTAGCATCTGTGCGTGGGTCTGATGGGCACATGCAGCTATGCCTCCTTCAGGTCACTGACATCAGGAAACCCCCTTCTTGAGTGCAGCCCAGGATGGATTGTAGGGACTGCATTTTGAATTTCTTGTAGGCCAGATGTTCATTTAACTTTTTTAGATCTAATATTGCTCTCCCCCCCCCCCACAAGCTTTTGGGAACCAGAAATAGAATGGAATAGAACCCCGCGCCCTTGCCCTGGGGGGAACTGGTTCTATGGCCCTATCTCCCTTAGATGACAAATCTCGGCCTCCATGAGGCCTTTCTTGGTGGGACATTTGGGAGTCGAGCAACGGATAAAGTGGTGCAGGGGGGGGAGAGGAACTGTCTGAAGGACCCACACATCTGAGGTAATCTCCTGCCCTCTGGGAGGGTTGAGATGGTGGTCACTTATTCCGACGGAATGGTCTGTTGGCCCTCCTCAAAAGGACCGACAGGAGAAGGGCTGATGACAGGCTGCCTATCTTGAGCGTGATCCGTTCCTTGTGTGTACAGATGCTGAGATGAAGAGGTGGTAGGTTGAGAGTCAGACTGAAGGGGTGTCTGTCAGTGGAAGTAGGAAGAGCATCTACGGTCCAGTTTATGGGACACAGAAGGCATCACTTTCTGCTTGTCCTTGTTCTCAATCAATACGGAGTCTAGAGTATCCCAAACAGCTTTGAAGTGGGAGGAAGCAAGCTTCCATTCTGATCTCATGTCCACGTTCCAATGGCGGAGCCATAAGAGCTGACAAGATGTACCATTGGATGACATAACACGTGAAATGAACTTTGCTGCATTACAGGTAGCATCTGCTGAATATTCCACTGTGGCCACGATCTTATTTATATTGTGGCACAGTCTGGTGAGCAGTTGGCGAAGCCAGGGTATGGTGGCCCTGTTAAAAAATGAGGCGAAGGTGGCTGCTTTAATGGCCCATGCTGTGGCTTGATGAGTCTTGTGAAAAGTCGATTCAGCTCTCTTGTCCTCTGTCTTAAGACCTTCCAGCAAGTCAGATGCTAACAATGAGGAAGAGGTAAGAGCCGCCACCGGAAGATTGACAGAGGGAATCTTAAGTATGTCCTCCATGCTGGGATCCACCGAATAGAGGCGATTGTCATTACCCCCAGGGGTGGCCAAGGTCCCTGGTTGCACCGACTGACGTTGGACCACGTCCTTGAAAAGTTTGGGTGAGGGAATAATCTCCTGCACCGGAACGTTCTCATCAAACAACCCTTTGCTAGGAACCGCCGAATCCCTAGTGCCCTGGTCCAGGGCAACCCCCACCTCCATATGAGTGGACACTTTGGCCTTAAATAGAATAGACTTGAATAGAGTGGGCTTGAATAGCCCAGCAAAGGCAGGCTTGTCAGGGACCATGGTCTCATCCTCTGACAAGTCCTCATCCCCAGGATCCTCAGCCTACCATACTGACTCTGCACTAGCCACCAACAGAGTCAGGGAAGAAGGTCTGTGGGGGCGAGCATGCTTCTTGCTAGCCTGGGGCACTGGTTGGGATAAAGGTGGTTGTACCTCATGCCTCTGTAGCCCTTTGGCTATACCCTGGGAGATCGCCTTGGCAATTACTTCGCGCATCTCCACTGAGAGAGCAGGGCCTCTGCTGGCTCTGGCTCCCTTGATGGTCTCCCTAGAAGCCCTGCCCGCCTTTCTAAAATAGGGCCCCACCTAGATGGTGGACTGGCCTGCAGGTTCAGGTGCCTCGGAGATCTCATCCGCCATAGGTGACAATAGCTGTCCAAACACCAACAGCCAAAGGTGGAATCGGGTGATAGATGTTGACACTCCTGAGGGCTGTGTGAGGCAGGTTGAGCATGGGCCAAAAGTGGACACAACACTGCTGAGATCAGGAAGGCTGGCAGGGCTCAATAGCCAAGCGGCAGGAGGCACGATGAGGAGGTGGCTGCTGCCAAGGCCTCCGAAAGATTGCCTCCCTGCTCGCTGTTGCTGGTCTGGATCCACACTAAAGCTCTTCGCCCCTAAGCTGCTACTGAAATGAGCGTGGGAATTCAAAATGGGCGCTCCAAAATGGCTGGCTCAAAATGGCCACGCCCAGGGAATAGCCACACTGCTCGGCACCAACAAAAGGAAGCCGTTCCAATCTTCACGCTTTACCAAAGCCAACAAGAAGCGCCTGTGTGTCTTGCTGCACAGATCGCCAAGTGGACAATCTCAGTGGTAGAGAGCCAGCTGGCTGCACATTCCCAGCACCCGAGCAGAGCCCAGGATGCTTGGAAAGCACTGCTCCCTTTACAAGTTTAACAGATCCAGATCAAAGAAAACCACTACAATCTACACCTAAGTAAGTAAAACTAAAAATCAAATACTGTAGCTGAAAACTCAAAGCTCTAAACAATAAATATCTGGAGACTCTTTAAGTTATGTCCAAATGGGCTGGACTGAATTGAAAAACTGGATATCAGAGACCAGGAGGCGTGGCCAGAAAAATTCAATCTAGTCCATTGGGCAGAGGGACAGAATTTAACTCATGCTTGGATTCTCCAAGCAGCACACAGGAGAAACATGTGATCACAGGACACTGCAACATTGTAACTACAACCCAGCTGGCCAAGGCTCAAATCACTATATGACCCAGGAAAGCTGTGATGGCCACAACTGTTAGGACCTGTTCCCACTCATTTAGCACTATAGTAATTTAGAACAGTTTGTTGAATGGACATTAAGCAAAAATTATCTGTATTTGCAGCCAACAGTAGCCCTCTATTATCAATTCTGAATTTCATATAACAACAAGAATTGTAAAAGACCTAATTAGAATTCTCTGTTATATTCAGATGCAAGTATATACATTGCAAAGGCATATTTAGCATACCTGATTCTGCTGGATAGGAGGCTGGGACTGTCCATCAGGAGCCTGTCCCTGGCTGTCATTCCCTCCTACTGGAGAGCCACGAGTTGTGGCTGTCATACTCGAAACAGGGCAGATTTTTGCAATTTTGTCTGTTTATGTAGTTGTTGAGAGAGAAAAACTTATAGTCGGCTTAATAAAGTTGAAGTACCAGTGTAGATCTGTTTTAAAAAGCTCCAACTCAAGAACAAGCCATTTTGCAGAGACCATTGCATAATCTGAAAGATAATTCAATATATGTTATTTTAAATATTATTCTGGAGATATAAAAATGTCATTCAAGGAAAAACATTGTCTATTTTTTATAAATCCAACAAGAGTCCCAAATAATCTAAAGAAATATATTTCTCCAGAAGTAAACAATTAAAATAAATGAATTTACTCCATAAGGTTCAATTTTATGACCCAACAATCTTTCTTTTCTCTTGTGTTTGTTTTATATTTTAGGAAAACTTCATTTGGCGTTGTAAAAACAATACTATCATCACAAAACACTTGGAAATGTTAAGATATCAACATAAGATAGAGTATCCTATCCTTGAGAAAGGATATTATGGAAAGAAGCAGAAATGAAAGCCAAAACATAGAAAAAGCGAAACTGAGTGAGGGAAATAATAAGCAGATAAAGGATCTCATTGGATTTAATAGGGGCACAAAGAAAAGGGTAGATCATGTCCCAATAAAAAAACAAAAGAAAGGAAAAGAAGAAAAAAACAGAGCAGATAGGCAGCACAATGAAAGAAAGAAAAGAGTTCATTACAGGGGGGAAATATAATAAGAAAAGAAAAAGGGGAAATAGGTTGAGGAGACAAAAGGAAATCCTGAAGAGGGTACAACGAATGAAAAAAGCAAAAAGTTACAAAAGACATAGGAAAGAAAATATATAAACAGCAGAAAGAGAAAGGAGAAGTTCAGAGATTGGGATTTAAGATACTTTAAAAATAAATGGAAGGGAAAATAAAAATTGGTAGATGAGAGGAAGAAGGGAAATATGCACATAGATAATAAAAATCAGGGAGAGGAGAAAAGTGGAGAAGCATATGCTATTGTGAACTTAATTTAATTAATTGCAGTTAAATGCAGTTAATTAACTGCAACACTGAAATGTAATATGTGTGTATGGTATAGAAAGGATTTCAAGCAAAAAAGAATTAAAGGTAAATTAACTAAGGTGAATAAAGATAGTAGGCTAGCTGATATGTATTAATAATGGAAGGTGAAATGACAAACAAAAAAATATTAGTTGGGAAAGTTACTATAAGAGGCGGGAAAATGGAGGGAAAATTTGGAAATAACACCTAATAATATAGAGTTAAAATTATGAGAGAAAAATATGGGCGCTTAATGATATATACATATGGAACAGTATTATGAGGATAGGCGGAAATTTGAATGTCTTGCACTGTGTCCAAAAGAGGTTGTTACCCGGGGGGGGGGGGAGAGGAAACAAATGGAATAGGTATAAAGGTATACCTTTAAAAGAAAAGCTAGCAATATGGAAAATATTTTTTCTTTTTTCTTTGGGAATATAATTATTAATGCCACTGAAATTAAATTGGGTTTGCTAAAAGGCGGAAATACACCATGCAAAATAGAGAATGGAAGGGAGATAAAGAGCGGAAAGAGAGAAAAAGGAGACAGGGAAGTAGAAGGGAGAGAAAAAGGAGAGGGGGAAGGTGTGGAAAGAGGAGAGGAGAGGGAGAGAGCAAGGGGAAGCGGAGAAGAGAGAGGGGGCAGAGGGGAAAAAAGGAGGTAGGGAGGAGGAGATAGGCAGAGGAAAAGAGTTGAAGATGAAATAGACTATAATATGGTGTATGGAAAGCAGAAGAGCAAATAAAAATTGAAGAGGCTTGATGGCAAGAGGAATTGATATATTATTGAATATTCAAAAAATGTAATGATATACTTTGGAATATTTTATATGTATTTTAAAAAATAAAAAAAACTTTTGGCAAAAAAAGATGAGTATGTCACATTATAATTATTTAATAAGTATTTTATTTGAATTGGTACACACTAATACACAGAATGGTGAAAACTAAATATTTTGATGTTTAGAACATATTTTGAGCTGTATTAACTTGTCCTACTATGTGAAAGAATTTTAATGAATGTTACAGAACAAATTTTGGTGGATACAGACAATTAGTCGTGTACTAACCACTGGTTACTTCACAAGTGTTCAAAGTTATAATAGACATTTCTGAGGGTACTTACAACCTGGATTCAAGGTTCTGACAGCTATTCACACCATGATCACCTGACCACACTTAGAGGGCTTAGCAACAGGCTGCATTTGCAGTCATTTGTAGAATCCAGCAGAGATGTGACTATATTTTAGGACAGTTTTGCCCCAAACTGGCATGTACTTCCCATTTTGGGCAAAACTGTCCATAGCGAACTACTGGTTTGCTTTGCATCTACCACATTTGCTTTATGGCTGCAAAAAAGGTGATAAAATCAGGTTGTTCACATAGGTGACCCAATTTATGACCATCACAAGTTACAATAATGATAGGCTGGGTCCATTACAGCTGGAACTCAAAGATTGCCTATAGATGGTTTCAGTTTTTACTAATACAATCAATCTAAAATAGTCTAAAGACAAATTATAACATTTACATCAGAAAGACAAAACTGAAAGTAAATTGCTTGCTTATACTAGTGGTTCTTGTTAACAGTTCAACAACTGTCTGAACTTGTAACAGTTCTGAATGAGAGGTAGTTATGACTGGTGTTCAAAGTTCTGGCCAGAACAGTGCCCCTGAGGTCACATGCTGCAATATAGGGACTAGGCAGATGGTTTGGATTCCTGACTGTCACAGCATCCCACAGACTCATGAATGCTATCTGCAACTTCCCTACTGGGACAATCACAATTTCCCACAAGCAAAGGCAATATGGAAGCTGGCAGGAAGGCGCAATCATGTGAAAGCCTCCATTAACAGTGTATTGGGGACTGCTGGAACTGTCGTCATTAAGCAATGTGATCAGATCACATTGTACTTTATGACCATATCACTTAGAAAGGCAGTTTCAGTTCAAGTTACCTCCATTAATTGAGGACTACCTGTATTTTCTAAGATAAACTTCCTCCCCAAAATTACATCAGACTATTCTATTGTTTCAAATGTTAGTAATTTTGGATATTAAAGATTAAACGAAAGTTGGTACCTACCTGAACGTCATTTCTTTTTTTAAAAAGTTATTACTGTTTTTATTGAAAGAAAACACACAAAAAATAAACTTTCATTACATCTTATAGAAAGCATATCCATTGATTACAGGTATATTTCGTGTATTTCTTCCATAATCACATATATTTCATTCAGTTTAAATTGTACATTTTAGAATTTATATATTTT